CCCCCCCAGGCAGCCCCAAATCCCACAAGCCATTTATTCCAACAACACGTTCCCTGCTACGGTGACTGTTTTTGTTCCACATACGAGACATTTTTATTCCACGCTGGGGTTCGATATCTAGTTCAACAATGGCTCCAGAGACAGGAGCAGCGGTGGCATCAGCAGCAGCATCAGCAGCAACAGCAGCAGCAGCAGCAGCGCTCATACGGAAATATACTGTGACAAGACATCAAGTGTGAGCCCCTTTCCAGAGGAGATGCGTGCGCCGCGTTTCTTTCACCTGTGCACGGCACACTTCCCGTTCTCATTAGCATGATCACAGGAGGGCAGGCGTGCGTATGATGAGAGATGCTGCTCAGCCATCACACTCATCTAATAATCATAAAGCACTTAGGGTCAGATAGAATACACAGAGCCATAAATTAATCAGAGACCACTTCAGCTTTTTTGGGTACATGTGCCATGCATATCCTATATTTCATAACACACACCGAGAGAGGGGAGAGAAAAAAAAAAAAAATCCCAGCAGAGGTCCGCACATCAATAACACCAACATCTTCTATTTCTCTCTCCGCGTTTAAAACGCTCGCGCACAACAAGAGAGAAATTTAAAAAAAAAAAAAAAAGAGGAAGAAGAAGAAGAAGAAGAAGAAGAAAACAGATGAGTGTGAAATCGGATCGGTGCGATCACTGCAGTGCAGTGTCGAATACAGTCAGGTGCTCAGTGCCAACACAGGGCTCACCATTCTGTGTAACTGATCAACTAAAGCTGCCTTCGGCAAGCTCCGGGAGCGGGCAGAGAGGAAACAGAAAGGGGAAGAGCAGAGAGGAATCAGAAAGGGAGAGGATCCAGGACCCAGTACTCACCAGCACCAGCCGAACGCAGCAGAGACACCAAGAGCACAATCACCAGCGTCAGGATCTTCACATTCATTTCTGCACTCCCCTCTGGCTCTGTGAGAGGCACTGGCTCGTATACTGTACTGCTCTGTGTGTGTGTGTGTGTGTGAGGAGGTGTATGTGTGTGTGCGTGTGTGTGGATGGGAGGGAGAGAGAGACAGAGAGAGAAAGAGAGATAGAGCAGCTGAGTGAGCAAGAATAAGAGAAAGAGACTCTTTGCTCCCTAGTTTGCCTGAATGTATTATTTGGAATATCAGTGTGTGTCAGTGCCACTGTCTAACTAAGAGTCAGGGCAACCCTTTTTTTTTTCTGGTAGTGTGCAGATGTCTCTTCTGTTCTTCTGTCAGTTAACAAAAAACCAAAACAAAACAAAAAAATAACCAAAAAAAAAACCAAAACACAGCAGCGGTCAAGCAGAGCAGTGAACGTTGTGGACGTCAGGTCTCTCTCTCTCTCTCTGCGTATGTGTGTCTCCTCTTTGCCCTGGATTAGTCCAGACCAGTGGATCATGTGGTTTATGTATTACTGAGTGAGTGGGTCACGGAGACGCCCCCACCATCCGCCAGCCACTCTCTCTCCACCCCCTTCTCCTCAAACATGCACAAGTGCTCACAGCCCAGCAGAGGAGTGGGGAGTGGGGATATATATGTACATATATAAATATAATTATAAATATATATATATATTTATACATATATTTATATATACATTTATACAAATATATGCAGATATTTTATACATGTGTGTGTCTACAGCAGGCATGAGCAAAACTACGGCTCGCGGGTCCGGATGCGGCCCATTTGGCTTTTTTAATACGGCCCGCCGAACTTGTCTAAATGATGTTATCCGTTTCTGTCGTTATACTCCTGGCTTTTACCTGCAGTACCTGCCTTTCCCCATTTGACGGCGTAAAAAAAAAGGCAGTTTAGTATTTATGCATGACTTTTACATGTCAAAATACCTGTTCAATTTTAGGACAGTTGTGGCCCGCGGGTCAGAAAAATACGCCTAAGTCTGGTCTGCAGTGTGATGCTGAAAGCGAAAAAAGAATATATATATACAATTACTCAAATGCAAATAATCAACACAAAAACAGGAAGTCCAAAGTTAATAGTTTGTATATTATATATATATATATACATATTTGTAAGACAACATGTTTGTTGCACTACGTCTGGTTTGATAATGGTTTGATAATTGTCAATTCCCATCATACCCTCCTCTAAGACTTTTTTTTTTCTTATTCTTATATTATTTCTTATGTCATCTTAACAGCTAAATTATTTGACTTTTTGACTTTATACTTTAGAGTCTATAGAAAGGCCTTATAGCAGGGGTGTCAAACTCATTTTGGTTCAGGGGCCGCATACAACCTAATTAGATGTCAAGTGGGCCGGACCAGTAGAATTATAACATAATTACCTATAAATAACAATATAAATAACAATAAGTCTTTTTTCCCCCCTTTGTTTTCATGCCTCAAAAGTACATTAGATAAATCTTATTTAATGAAATATAACTATACAAAATGTTGAACATGAAGCGTGTATGTATTGTTTGAAATATAACTATACAAAATGTTGAACATAAAGCGTGTATGTATTGTTTTTATTTTCCAAATTCATCAAACGGGCCGTATGTTTGACACCCCTGCTCTGTAGCGTCCGTTTCTGCTGACTGTACCCTTTGTCGTTTTTTTTTTTTTACCTTTGATGATCTGGAGCTCAACACTGAGAACAAAGCACCACCGGGAAGATGTTATCAGCTGTTAGAAACCTAGTCGTTCAAACCTAGCCTTCCACGCAAACCAAGTTACTTCCAATGTTTTCCACGTACTCATCCAGGGACGACGGCAACCTCGTCCAGTTTTTTTTACCTAAACCTCTGGACAACAAATGTGTTCATATTGAAAGAGTCTTTGAATCGATGACAGCATCCGTGGCTCTGAATCTCGGAATTGAAAAGCAGCTCATGAGGGGTAGAAGATGAAAGAAGGAAAAGGTGTGAAATGAAGGTCATGCTTTCCTGCTTTTGTACGTGCAGCAGCTGAACAGAGCTTTTTTTTTTTTTTTTTCCTCTCCTCCCTTCTCTCACACGGTTCTTCACCCACAGCAGCACTGGCGGCTTGTCTCTGTCTGAGTATGGCTTAAATCATTCACACGCTGTTTGAAGTAAGTGTCTGTGACACGGGGAGTAACCGCAGGAAAAAACTTATCAGACTCGCCTCCGTCACATCTCTTGTTCAACCGCCCGTGAGCTCATTTGTCTAATTTTGTTATCTGGGTTTTATTTTCCGCATGAAACAAAAGACTAAGAATTGCAATTGCGGTGAAATGAACTGCTGCAGGTTGTTTATGTCTTCAACTCACAATAAATAGGAAAAGGTGCGTTTCCTCATCACCGTGAATAGTGAGAACTTGAGATTTTTGCTTATCACGTTTGACCCTAGAGATGCTGATGATCGTTAACATCCTCTCTTAGGAAAAAAAAAAACTGTTTGAAATGAACGGGGAATCCCATTTTGTTTTATACAATACAAGATATTTGGTCCACAGTCTCATTTCATCCCTGGGTTGATTTAAGAAGTCTGTAAATCTTGCAGATCCTTTTTTTTTTTTGTATTTTCACTGCTTTTACTTTTAACAGTCAAGCTACTACGCAACTACCCTCTCCTATCGCGGTAGTTGCGTTCCAAGACCTACCATACCAAAAATCGCGAAGTAGAGGCGAGATAGTTATGTTATTGACGTATATATTTACCCTTTACGAACCTCCCCCGCACTGTTATCAACCCTCCCTAGACTGTATTACCCTTTATCACACAACTATATGCACAGTAAAGTTGTATAATGCTGCGAAAAATAGAGCGAAGTGAACGAGAGAGTGGCCGACAGACGAGGGGAGATGCTAAGAGATGCTACGATGCATGAGCCAATCAGCATGAGGAACAGAAGAGCAGGCTCAATTAGTCAGTCAATAATACACTGAGTACGCATTGTATTAGCCAATAGTATGCTGTGTACGATCTTGTCTAAGTTGGTAAACAAAGCTACCGTCGATCGTTCGCAAATGTGGTTGTCTCAATTTCGAAACGAGAACCCGCATTTTACTAGCCAAAACTTTCGTATGTGTAATTATTTTATAATGGCTTTTAGTTTTGCTATATTTTGCAATATAGCGAAAAAGTTTGCTACATATTGCTATGTATATATATATATATCTATATTTATATATATATGTATGTATGTATGTATGTATATATATATTTATATATGTATGTATGTATATGTATGTATATATATTTATATATGTATGTATATATATTTATATATGCATCTATATATATATATTTATATATGTATGTATGTATATATATATATATATATATATATATACACACAGTATATATGACG